CGCCACTGGCCGCGCCGACAGGGGCGGGCTCCCCGCCGCCCCGCCCCGCCCCGCCCCGCCCCGTCCTCCCCGCCGCGGCGCCGCCGCCACTCCGCGTCCTTCTCCGGCCGGGGCCGTAGCTGCTCCCCGCCGTCCGCGGGGACCCGCGCCGAGCGCTGCGTTGCGCAACGGGACGCACCGGGGAGCAGCCCGGGCGCGCCTGGGAGGAGCCCGGGACCCCTTCGCCAGTAGCCAGCCGCGCCCTCCGGGTCGCCGCGCTCTCTCGGCGCAGCACCTTTTATTTTTAATTTTAATTTTTTTTTTTTTTTATTGTTTGTTTGTTTCCCGGAGAGCCACAGCGGGCCGTGCTACCTGTTGCCCACAGAACCCCGGGCTAGGGCTGCTGCCACCCGGGCGTGGCGGGGACCTTGGCCTCCTTGTGCCCTCAGTCCCCCCGAGACCGGGAAGGGGCGCGGCAGCCGGGCTGCGCGGCCGCTGAAAGGTCCGGCTCATCTCCCAAAAGCGCCGCGACAGCAACGCTAACACCGCTCCCCCCCTCCCCGGCAAATTAGGGCGAAAGCGACCCCCGCGAAGCTGTTGCGTAACACGATTGGGAAACCAGGCTGGACGCGCACGGTCTGCGTTCCCGACCACGTGGAGGGGTGGCTGCTGTTGCCGAGGACCCAAGGGTCCGCGCGGCCGGGGTGCGCCCGCCTGGGACGCCCTCCGACCTTCGGAACTCAGGTTGGAGCGAGCCTCGGAGGGCACCGCCCCCCCCCTCCCCAGCATCTGGAGCTAGTAGCTGCGCTGTCCTTTCTGCCCCTAGCGAACACGTCGGCCCCTCCCTCCCCAATTCCATAGCCGTACAAAAGACGTAAGAAAATGGGAAACAGAGCATCTGGCGGCACGTTCTGCAGTCAGTTACCAGGTTGGCTGTTGTAAAGGAACGTGGCATGCACTCCCCGCGTTTACAGACACGTAAGGTTAGTGCTGGCCTTGGCAGAGGGAGCCATATTCCTGACAGTGACGCACGCGCCTGCCCCAAAACGGATTGTGGCAGGTGGCGAGGTCCTTGAGCAGTCGGTCTCCTGCTCTGCTCGGACTGTGAGAGCGGGGCTCGAGTGACTCCCTCCCTCTGCTTCCCCCACCTTCTCGTTTTTGTTTTGTTTTGTATTTTTAAAGAAAGCAAGTCCAAAGTGCGTGACACCCTCCCTCCCCGCCGAACATCTTACTAAGTGGATCTTTTTCCACCTACCCCGGGCACACAAGTAAACGGAAAATCTCGGAGGCATCCTCAGTGCTGGTCTGATGACCATTCACCGGTTGGACTTTTGGACGCCTTCACGCGGCAGTAACGATGGAGCCTGCTGTCTCGTGAGATACCCAGCAAGCCACAGATAGTTTGGTAAGCCTCCTTTTCCAGGCGCTGAGCAGTTCAGGGACACAGCGCCCCTTTACACGTTTGTTTGGAAGCACTGACGACCCTGATGAAAACGAATCTTGATTTGGTTAATCGGTTCCACTTTTCTCGAATTTACTGACGTCATAGGATCCCGAAGTAGGAGTAACGTTTTCACAAAAAGCCAACCGAACTTGCCTGACTCACCCGAGGCTGACAGCGGAGGAACTGAGGCTCTGACCCGCGAAGCTGTTCTGTAGATTGAATTCTGAAATCTGATGCCTGTCTTCAATCCCCGGGACAGTTTACCCTGCGCCTCCACCGCATCGGTGCTTCCGTCATTGTCATCTAACTTGGAAATTAGAGGAAGTGTGTGAGAGATGAGTCCGATAGCAACTTGGAAAATAACTCGTTAGCGCCTCCTGGCGCTTCGGAAACAGATCAACAAGGCGGCGGAGGCTTGGTCTCCAGGACCTGGGCGATGGAGTGTCCAGGTTACACACTCGGGAGGGTTGACCTTCTGGGCAAGTGCTTGCAATGAGCTGCACCAGAAGAAAATTGAAACATAACCCTAGGGCTGGAGGACTTCCCCCAAGCCTCCAGGGTGCCGATGGCAGCCTGAAAGTAGGGTCTCCTGAGGACGGAGAGGATGGAGAGCTGGCTGAAGTATGAAGTCCAAACTTGGGTTTTCCTGGAAGCGCTGGGGCTTGAGTCCCAGTCTTCTACATGCTAAGCAAGTGCTTTATCGGTGAGCTACCTTCCCAGGAGAAACCCAAGGCGTTCTTACTCTAAGCGGTTGGTTCCTTTCAGTGCTGGGATCTGCGGTGGATGCAGGAGCCGAGAGCCGAGGAGCAGAGGAGCAGAGGAGCAGTGACCCGGACCAGCAGAAATCATTCGCAAAAGGCTTTGTTCTCATACTGCCCTGCTCTCTTACCCAGGAGGGAGCATGAGAGGTGAAAGCCGAGAACAGGGAGAGAATGTGAGCGTGAGAATGTAGTTCTTCCTGAGAAAACTTTCAGGATATGTCCAGCTGCAAGGTCCAGACTGCTGGTCAATAGGCTTTTCCCAAGGGGTTTCCCCTCTCAGTGGTGGGTGTCGGCCCAGCTCTGAGCCCAGTTAGACAGCTTCAGCTCGGTGTCCTGGACCTTGCTACACCTGGTTAGCTGTCGTTAGGTGCTTTAGGAGGGTCCAGGAGGGGAGCCACCTGTGGACCGTGACACGAGAGAAAAAATGCCTTCATCGTTACAGTACCAGGCCAGGCAGCTGTGGCGCCAAGTTTTCAAAAGTTGACATTAAAAATATCTTTTTTTTGGGGGGGGGATGTTTGAGAGAGAGAGATAGCCTGCTTTCCAGTGTTGGCAAGGAATCCATTTTCTTTCAAAGTGAGGCTAATGAGATGGCGTAGAGGATAAAGGCACTTTCCTAGTTTTGAGCTCTAGGATTCAAATGGTGGAGGGTCAGAACCGAGCCCTTCAGGTTGCCCTGTGACCTCTATATGTGAATTATGGCATGGGTTTGAGTAAGTAAGTAAGTAAGTAAGTAAATAAATGTGATATACTTAAAAGTAAATAAAATATTGGGCCAGTTGTGGCTCAGTTGTTAAGGGACTTGCATATCTTGCACAAAGCTCTGGGTCCAACTCCCAGCACCACAGAAAACAGATATGGTGGTGCATGCCTGTAATCCCAGCACTCAGGAGGTACAGGCAGCAAGATCAGAAGTTCAAAGTCATTTTCAGCTATAATGTCAGTTCCAGGCTAGCCTAGGCTATGCGAGACTGTTTGTGACTGACTGACTGAATGAATGAATGAATGAGTCAATGAATTGGTCTAGGGCTTACCTGACTGGAGCCTAAAGATGGAAAATAAAGTTCTGTCAATCACAAGGGGGACCGACAGGCTGACGACTAGTCAGGTCTGCAGCTCTGTCTGCTTTGTGTACCGGAGTGTTCTGAATTTCTCAGTGGGAAAGCCCAGTTGCTCTGCACCCTCTAATGACCACAGCCCTCACGTAGGGGCCATGACCAGCATGAAAGCCCCTACCTACCACTGCACTGTGTTTGTTGGCCTTTTAGCACCTTTTATTTACTTTTAAGTTTTAAAAGATTTGTTCATTTCAATTTTGTGTGTATGAGTGTCTTGTCTTCATGCATGTCTGCAGCACATGTGTGCCTGGTGCCTACAAAAGCCACAGGAGGGCAGCCGCTCCCCTGGGACTGGAGGTACGGCTGGTTGCGAGCTGCCATGTGAATCTCATAGTTAAAGTCCAGTTGCTCTTAAGAGCAACCAGTGCCCTTAACTGTCTCATTTCTCATTTCTCTTAAAAAAACAAAACAAAACATTCTTTGTTGTTTTTCAAGACAAGGTTTCTTGTGCAGCCCTGGCTGTTCTGGAACTGGCACTGTAGACCAGGCTGGCCTTGAACTCAGAGGCCCTCCTGCCTCTGCCTTCCCAGTGCTAAGACTAAAGGCGAGCGCCGCCGCCACCGCTACCTCCATCACCTCTCCTCATCTCTGTCTTGTATCTTTTAATTAAACTTTGCAAAGCAGTTCAGACAGTTTCCAGAGACCTGTCAGTTGCTGTTTGCTTGTTGCCTTTTCAGTTAAAGCTTTCTAGTGTGGGCTGGTGGTCTAGGGTGGCGTTTCAGCTTTGACCTTTGGACTCCTTCCATGGTGGAGTAGAAAGCTTAGAGTCCTGCTGCACACCCCCAGCCTCTCCCCCAGCCTCCCCCCCAAGTCCCAACCATCCCCCTTCACCCCTGCCAGGTTCTTACTCTGTGGTCCCATCATCCAGACTCATACAGAATATGCCTGGCCTAATTCTCCAAAGACTGGTTTGGCAGTTTTGTTTTGTGGGAGTGGGGGCCAGGGGATTGAGTAATAGAATAGGCTCAAATAACAATCCCTGGAGTAGGGATGGCTTTAAAACCCGGGAAGCCAGAAGGTGAACACGCTGTCCCAGCTTACAAAGTTCTCCCCTGAGGAGGGCAGCTGAGGGGTTCCAGCACATTTCAAAGGCTTTCCAAATGACTCAGGGAAATGCAAGAGTGTTGCAAAAAACGGAAGCATGCCTTCAAATTCGGCCGCACGTGATACACATGCCAGTCACTGGGCATTTCTCTGCTCATTCGGCTTCAACGGTAGATGCGGGTGACGGTGCAGGAGGAAGGGCAACAGGCCCCAAGGCAGCAGGAGTTGGGAGTGGGGGGCTCCATTCCAAATGGTCAGGGCCTTTGAAGCAGCTGATGGCATCCATTGCAGACGTGGTTGATGGAGCAAGCCTGGTGCAGTATTTGACAGGCGGGACAGAGCCAGCAGGGTTTCAAGGATGTGAAATCTACAGTTGTGAAACATGTTCTAGCAAAAACCCTTTCTACTAAGAACAAGAGATGACACATCCATGCTACGATAGGACTCAGGCTAAGGAGGTGTAAAGCTTATCTAAACACTTCTGCAAAGCCCTGCCCAGAGTGCTTTACTGGAAAGAGACACAGCTGCCCAGCCGAGGCCTGGGGTCTAGAACATCCCGTGCCCTAGGCTCGCTGGGGGTCGCCCAGGCACTGAGGGGCTGCTCCCTCATCAGGCCCTGGGGATGGGGGGTGGAAATGGTGCTGTGGCAGGAATGATCTTTGGCTCCAGCCCCCATCAGGCGAGGTGAGGGAGCCTGGGGCCCCGGGCTCTGCAGGCTCTCCCGGAGAGTCTCCTCCTCCACACCCTCCGTGCTGCACTCTGCACGCCGGCAGACTCGGGGGCAAAATCGTCCCACACAGCTTTCTTTCACCGAACATTGAAGGTGAGGGCTCTGTCTGTCAAAGGCTCTCAGGAGCCAGGAAGCTGGTGCTTGACCACACTTCTGGTCTTCTGAGAAGTTGCCAGTTTCGTCAGCTCTCAGCAACGCTGCACAAATGCTTGGGGTTTGGCTACTGCTGCAGAAAGACGACCACACCAGCTACACACACAGGGCATCGTCTGCACACAGCCATACCTTCCACAGTCACACACACACACACACACACACACACACACACACGCACACACGCACACGCACACGCACACACACACGGACATCAGCTGCAGACGATCACACATACTGAAGTGACATGCACCCTGGGTTCAGCTGCTGCTGCTTGGAGACAGTCACGCATGCTGCAGTCACACACACTCGGACACACCTGCCAGGCTATGCGCTGTCGGAGTGCTAGAAAACCAGGCTCTGGCATCACCAAAGAACGCTGCAGCAGGAACAAGGTGGTGGCTATGGAGATAGAAACCCCTGTCTCCATCCCAACTCCCTGCCCCGACTCACCAACACCGTGACTGGGGCAGGCCATTTTCCTCCCTTGCTGTCCACCTCAGTTTCCCTTTTTTGGTGGTCACTTATGAAAATCATATTGACTCCAGGATGGTTGGGGGACTAGAGTCACCAGGGTTACCTTTGCTTGGGAAAGGGCTTGAAGCACAGACTGGCGTGTGTCAGGGTCCCCACCCTGAGCTCAGTCAAGCTCAGCCTGGGGCTGGCGGGTAGCTTAATTGGCAGAGTGCTTGTGTATAATGCACGAGGCCTTGATTTGATCCCCAGCACTGAAACACGCTGCTATGGTGGCTCACGCTTGTAATCCCAGCACTAGGGAGGCAGAGGCGGGAGGATCTAGAATTCAAGGTCATCCTTTGCTGGACATGGACTTCTAGGTCAGCTTGGGTTAGATATTATGTTTAAAAATAAACAGATACACAAACAACATTGTGTCTTCATCAGGGAAACTATATCTCGTGTGTGTGTGTGTGTGTGTGTGTGTGTGTGTGTGTGTTACACTGCCAGGTCCTCCTTCAATTCCACTGAACACGTGAGTGCCCATAGCTACAAGCCAACACCCAAAGATGAACAGGGACATTCGGTTACTAATTCTTCCATTTATTGAGTACCTGCTAGGTTTCAGGCATTTCTTGAACAAAGTTTAATACCAATAGATAATGACCTCATTTCTTCTCATGGAGACACTATGATGAAGCCAGGCCCATAGAGAGTAGAGGGAAAATGGGGAGGACGGTGGGGTGAAAACACAACCCAGATCACTCTCACAGTGTGACAGCAACTGTCACTGGAAAGCCCAGACTACGGAGGAGAGAACCGAATCCAACGGCAGGGAGCAGAGCACTTCTCTTCTTCCTCCTCCTCCTCCTCACTTTCCTCCTCTTGATTTTCCTTTTTTCCCATTTTATGTACATTTTAAAAACAGTGTGTGTACCTGTGTGTGTGCATGTGTGCATTCACATGTTATGACGTACATATAGAGGCTCCAGGACACCTTGTGAGAACTGACTTTCCTTCCAGGGTGGGTGCCAGTTTAGTGGCTCTGAGGTTGGGCTCAGTGGAAGCAAGCGCCTAGCATGGGTGGGGCCTGGGTTCTACCACCTCCAGCACCCAAGAACGAGTAAAAGAAATACTGTCGGGACTTGGTTGGGCCTCTGTGTGGCCCGAGATCCTGAGGCCTCGGTTTCCTCATCTGAGAAGCCGTGCGGCAGAGCCTCACACCCTGCACCCGTGCTTCAGCTCTGTCTGTGCAGGGGCAGCGGTGAGAAACCGTCAGGCGGGCAATGGCATGCTCGCACCCTCGCAGGGCATCCCACACATCCAGGACTCCTGTCCTTCACCTCTCCACAAAGAGGAGACAGGAGTCTAGAGCAAGCGGGTCCAGCTCTGGGCATGGCTGGAGCAGAGCTCCTGCTCCCTTCCTGGGCAAGATGGGCCAAAAGCATCCTGGCTGGAGACTGAGAGGCGTGGCCCAGGAATCCAGCCCCGCTGCCTTCCTGGATTTGAACACTTAGTGTCCAGGAGCGGCAAGTGTTTTGGAAAGCTGTGGCACCTTTAGAAAGGGGAGCCTTGCTGGAGGAAGTGGGGTGGCGTGGGTGGGCCTTGAGGTTTCATAGCTCAGGCCCACTTCCTTCTCTCTCTCTCTCTCTCTCTCCCTCCCTCCCTTTCCCTTTCTCTCTCTCTCTTTGCTTCCTGACTCTAGAGAAGATATGACCAGGCTCCTGCCACGTTGTGGACTGTAGTCTCTAAAACTAAGCCAAAAGAAAAGCTCTCTTCTTTAAATTGCTTATTGTCAGGCCTTTTGTCATGGTAACAAGAAACCTAAGGAATGCAGGTGGGCTGGCCGAACCTGAGACCACAGGAACAGCCAGCCCATCAATCACTGAGTAAGAAAAGGCCCTGCAGCCGGAATTTTCTCAATGGAGCCCTCCTTTCACATGACTCCAGTTTATGTCAACTAGCCAGGACACGTGGGTTGTGTCGAGTGAGCATGACTCTCCCTGAACTCCTCAGGTTCAGCAGTACCAGGCCTTAATGCCTGCCCTGTGGAGCAGCCATCTTGCAGCCTTAACCTCTCCAGTCACCAACAGCCAGTCTGACTACCTCCATTCTGGCTTTGCTGCTGCAGCAACCTGGATTTTGTAGATCCTGCAGAAGCCACTAGATGAATGTCACCTCACAGCATAGACACCTTGGTCCTGGTCCTGTCTTGGAGAGGTCTAGTCAGCAAGGCACCAAATCCCCTGGTCCTAGTGTTTTCCTTTCTCTCTACCTCTTCTCTCCCTGCCCCTCTCTCTCATTCTCCTTCCAGTTCTGGGAGCAGACTCATCTGACTCCAGCTCCCATTTCTGGGAAACCAGGCCCTACCAGTTTCTTTTACTCTTCCTGAAAACACAGATGTCAAACCCAGCTCTCTTCTGGAAAATAAGTTTCCTGACAAGGAACCCTTTACTAAAAGCAGCAAAGAGAGTGAGGCCATTCGGCCTTGTAGGGAAACACTGTGCTAGGGAACGCCTTCCTGACGTGCCAGACCTGCACGCTCAGTGTCCTTGCTCACCTTCTTGTCAAGTCTGACTCTGCTGACTCTGGCCAGGCTAATAGTGCTGTGGGCCCAGCCAGCAGGCTGCAGACACAAGAGGAAACGTGGAACTTTTGAAGAAGACACCGTGCTGACTTCTGGCCCCCCTGTGAACATGCCCAGGTGCACGCACTCACACTTGAGCCTGCACACACTTTCACACACACACACACACACACACACACACACACTAAAGAAAAAGAGGCAGAGCTGAAAAGACGTGTTTTTATGCAGCTCAAATGAGAAGCTGTTGTGGGGGAGGGCTTTTGTTTTTAACTGTGGTCACTTGGCTGGGCAGTGGAAAGAGTTTGTACATATTTTGATGTGACACACGGAAGATCTGAACAGTGCAGCCTAGAGAAGAAAAAAAAAGGTGACTTTCTGGTTAGTAAAAATTATTGACTGATGGCTGTTTGCAGGGTATTCTCTTTCTCTTTTTTTCTTTTTAAAACTTTCTTCTGGATCCTTCTGGTGTGTTTGTGGTGTGTGTTCACTGCAGCTGTGTTAGCACATGCTACCCTAATTCCATCTGATTGCTGGGATGGCTCAAGACCTGCCCCTCGGGAAGCACATTAGCAAACAGTGTCCCAGCGGGGACAGTGGAGATCAAGAGCTAGACTGCGCTGTTCAACAAAGCCATCCTGGTTCTGAGTTTGTTCCATAGCTGGGCACTTGCAGG